TCATGGTATTCACAATAATATTGGATAAGTCTTCTGATTCATTCATGGACTTTTGGGTTCATTTCTAAAGGTTAGTCTTTTGTTGATATTTTATAGTTTGTACGTATTCCTAGGATTTGTAGGTATATTGTGTTTATACTGTGGGTAATTTGGCTGTTTTGGCATGTTGTAAAAATTAGATAGTTTATAGTAACTAGCTGTGTTTCTGTATGCATTAGAAGTGTTATTATTTACGCAAGGTAAATAGTTCAATAAGTTCAGGCCTAAAATACCATTATGAAACTAAATCTTTAAGTAATGTGAAGCCTACTGTATGATCGTGTGAAGTATGAAAGTAAGAATGTGAAACATATGTGTTGCTAGGTTACATATGAATCAGAGTTTTACTATTATATTTAAGAAATGTTTTAAGTTATTCTGCAATAACACAATGTATCTGTTGGTAGTAATACAGTCTCATTAAAATAAGATCTAAGTTCTCGCTGCCGCTAAACAAAGCAATAGCGAGAACTAACAATTGATTTTAATGAGATTTGTAGTAATGTTGCTGCGATTGGAAGCACAGTATATATATTCATTTATTTGTCGTGTAGATAGAGCTGGACTGATGAACCCATGTCCACACACTTGGTACCTTTTTCATACATTGTATATTGTATGCATACATGTTAGTTATGTAACATGTCACATTTATGATACTCCATTTATATGATATGCATATATAAGTATATATGCGAGTTAAGTATGTTTATGATATAGGATTAATTAAGTGTTGATTTAATGTAAGTTTATCTATTATCGGTTATAACATTTCTGTTTCTGGCCTTCATGTCATGAAGCAGTCCCGGTTTCAAATTGTACTTTGAAAGAGTTTATCGGCTTCTGAATACTAATTGTCCCAGTTTATGTTCATTCAGAAGGGTTTAATAGGTATGACCACATGGAAACCACTGTGAAACCAAGTGTGGAACTACATTTCTCCAAGAGTGTTTGCTGAATGTCCTGCTAGATGTTGGGAATGTCGAAGTTCTCTTCGAGATTTCAACGCCCAAAATGGAGTACATGTAGACTATGTCAGTGACAATATTGCTGAGCAAATAGGCATAGATAACTTTGAATTTGAGCTGATTCCTTAAACTAAACCAGATATTCATGTGATAAGATAAATAAACTGAGTGGCAAAATATATCGAGTTTTTTGTTGTTGTGTCATTTAAACTTGAAAGAACTGTTGTTTTTATGTCCTTTTCACTATCACACTTCAACAGTTTGTAAAAGGTAATTCGTGGCAGATTAAGTCTGTTAAAAATAATTTGGTTCAATGAATACTTGGATAAGAAATGACTTTGCAACCGCATAGCCCCAACCATGTTTGAAATGTTGTATATTTGTGCTGAAACAACAGTTTTAAATTAAGTTATATGTTACAAAATAAAACCATGTAAAAGTATTCTTTGGGTGTTTATAAAGTACCAGTACAGTTCATTTTACGGACATAAAATGCCATAGCGTATGATATTTTCAATAGAAAGTCAAACAAACGATAAAATCAACTGAGAGATATAGCTTCTTTTGCCTGTCAATTTTTTGTTTTGACTTTTAGAATTATGTGCCACCTTAAACTGGAATATATTGAATGGTAGATCGGGTTCAGATGACAGGTGTTTCCAAATTTACATAATTAGTTCTCCAGGAAAAAGTCGTATTCATTACATTATTGTATTTTGAAATATGAGAACTTTAGCTCCGTTTCTCGAGCGGCATCCGTTAATCTGACAATTTCGTTCACGCTACAGGCGCTTTATTATCTCTACTGTGAACCCGACCACGGACCTGCACTTGCAAGTGATAGTTGCTGGTTCAGATACACGTTAGACAGTGACAAAGGGTGACGAATTTAGAGACAGACTTATCAGACACTCTGTTTTTGTTGTGGATGATATTGATAGATGTAAAGATTTATGTACCAGCACTGCATGGAACGCAAAGGAATCCATGAAATAGACGTTATCTTTTGGCCTTAAATATCAACAACATTGGTAAGATAAAGAATGTTAATTTTACAGGATGGAATTACAATTGTACATCACAATATGTATATCAGTTTTTTACGTAATAAGAAACGTTAGTAGTCTGAAAATATGAAAATTATTGTCTAGCATGCATGAAGCCAAAGATTTGCGGGGACACTAAGACAACTCCAGGTTTCAGATTTACGTACACCGACAATACACACTGAAAAGAGGTTTGAATATTTTAAACATTTATTTGACACTCCTGAACAAGATTTGAATGAGAATGACGGCAATGGTGTCTTTGACAGCGAAACTGATGTATACAGTCTTTAATTATATGTAGACTCTCCAAGGACATGAACAACCGCTTGTTTGTGTACCTTCATATAGATATATATGTACTGAGAATTTACGTTTACTACACATGGTCCAACAATGTAAAATAAGCTTCTTTAAAAGCTTAGAAAATAGTATATGGATTTTCGAAATGTTTGTCAATACTTAAATCATTACTATGTTATATTTTTTCAAAATATTTGAAACAAAACTAAGTTTAACCTTACTTTATGGGGCAGAAATATGGGGTGTAAAGAAATTGAAACTAAACATATGTTGGCATGTAAGCGCTTCCTGACTGTAAAATCTACAACTGCAGTCGTGTCGTTTCAGGGCAATATGGGTGATATCCAGTATATATATTTATGCTTGTCAACGCGTTGTAAATTATTGGTGTAAACTTTTATGTAAGCCTGGCTCAAGATTTGTCAGAAAATCCAAATGCACCAAATGTTACTTAGTGCAGCGCATAATGGTAAAAAACTGGATCTCTAAAGTTAGACAGTTATTAATATGTTCAGGTTTGGGTTATTTGTAGGAACAACAGTCAGTTCCAAACGTATCAAGTTATTAAAGTATTTTTGTCAGATGTATTTCTAAGATTGAAACTATCGTACAATGAGGATTGACGCGGGGCATTAACTGATAGCACATATAATAACTGTTTGTATAAATGAAACTTTAATACTGAATACTATATCTCAGCTGTTATAAGTTATAAATGTAGAAACGCAATGGCACAGTTTAGATGCAGTTGCAATCACCTTAGAATTGAAACAGGAAGTTTGACTAAAGAGAGTAGATGGAATTTGTGAAGATTTGAGAACTATATAAAAGACGAATATTATTTTATTGTGAAGTGTAAAACATATGATTATCTTAGAGGACAATTGATAACATTCATTCAGCACTAACATATTATACTTAATCTACAAGACACAACTTGAATGACGTCCACTAACGAATACTACGTCAAAAAACAATCTATGTACATATACAAAGTAATATGTATCAGAAACAAACTATATTGCCATTGTATCATGGGCTTATGGCCTGCAATACTGAATGAATAAAGTTGATTGAAATGTGCACGTGTGTAACGCCCTCTGCAATATTATCTTTTGTTTTAGGACAACGCATAACCTCTTAGGAGAGCTTTGTGAAAGTAATTATATAAGATCAATAGGCAGAATATAATCCCCAACAACATAAATAACGTTGAGATGATTCATTGCCGACTTTAAATACATTATTGGTGGTCGTGATACAGCGTTAAGTAGAAAATAATTGGACGCATCATAATCATGTCCAGACAAATAGCCGCAGGTGTGTGTACCGTGCAATGGGCTTCAGGAGTGCCCGGTCCCTGATGGCTGTGTTCTAATGGAGTAGCTGATTGTGTATATAATGATATATTTGAGGGTGTTTTATGGTGTATATAATGATATATTTAATGGTGTATAAAATGGTGGTTATAATGATATATTTAATGGTGTATATAATGGTGGTTATAATGATATATTTAGGGTGTATATAATGGTGTATACAATGGTATATTTAATGGTGTTTGAAATGGTGTATATAATGACATTTTTAATGGTGTATATTATGGTTTATATAATGATATATTTAATGGTGTGTGTAATGATGTATCTAATGGTATATTTAATGGTGTATGAAATGGTGTATATAATGATATATTTAATAGTGTATATACTGATATATTTAATGGTGTATATTGTGGTGTATATAATGATATATTTGATTGTGTATTCATGGCGTACTAGTATATAATGATATATTTAAGGGTGTATGTAATTATGTACGAGTATATAATGATACATTTAAAGGTGTATGTAATCGTGTATATAATAATATCTTTAAGGGTGTATATAATGGTATATTTAATTGTGTATTTAATGATGTATCAACTGTTATATTCAATGGTGTATGTAATGGTGTATATAATGGTATATTTAGGGTGTATGTAGTGATGTACTAGTATGTTATGATATATTTAATGTTGTGTTATGGTGTACAAATATATTATGATATATTTAATGGTCTATTTAATGATGTACCAGTATGTTATGATATATTTAAGGGTGTATATGATGGTGTATATAATGATATATCTAATGGTGTATGTAATGGTGTATATAGTGATATATATCAAATGGTGTATATTATGGTGTATTTAATGGTGTATGTAATGCTATAATTAATTGTGTATGTTATGATGTATATAATAGTGTTTTTATGGTGTATTTAATGGTGTATATAATAATATATTTAAGGGTGTGTAATTTCATGATTACCTCCCTTGGATCGTCTGCTAGCCAAAATGAGCGACAACATAGAGAGAGAGATGAAGTGGATAATTTATTATCTGCAATAGATTACAGCATACTTGGTGATAAAAAGTATCAATCTATCAGTGATGATGATGTTTCAAGGTTTCTTCGAGATCTGGAAAATGAAAACACAAGAAAGAAGAAAGATAGAGACATTAGAATTATCAGTGTGTACCTAGTGATGGTTGAGGGGGAAACTAGAAAAATTGAAGAAAACGATGCAGTATCTTTAGATTCCTATTTGTCAAGATTTTTTCTGTCAGTAAAAAAGAATGATGGATCAGAATATAAACCAGTCAGTCTAAAAAGCTACCAATCTTCCCTACAAAGATACTTGAAACAAATGGATTCTACATTTAACATAATTTCCGATATCACATTTGCAAGATCTAGAGAAACACTCAAATGCAAACAAAAAGAACTTAAATCAATGGGTAAAGGCAACAAACCCAAGGCTTCTGAAGAGCTGTCAGATATGGATATTGATGCCATGTAAGATGCCAAGACCCTCGGAAGTGATAACCCCCACAGCCTCCTTCACACCATGTGGATGATTCGTTGTCTGAACTTCGGCATGAGAACTGGAAAGGAAACCAGAAATTTACAATGGGGAGACATTGACATTAGAAATGATGATGATGGATCCGAGTATCTTATCTTTATAAGTGAGCGACAAACACAAACAAGACCTGGTGAAAATCCTAAAAATATACGGCAAATAAATCCAAGAGCCTATGCAACAACAGAAGACCTGGAAAGATGCCCTGTCAATGCATATAAATTGTACAGACAGAGACGACCACCAGCCTCTTGTACACCAGACAGTCCATTTTTTTTAGCATTCAATAACAACAGGAAGGAACAGTCGTACTGGTACAAAAATGCTCCACTGGGTGTCAACAAGCTATATGGAATTATGAAGGCTATGACAGAAGGTGCTGACACAGCTGATGACAAAAGATTGACATCATACAGGTAAATATTCAATATCTATATTAGTTTTGGATAAACACTTTAGTATAATATTGGGAATTACAATGACAATCAGCCATAAAGTAAGTCAAAACAAATAAATAGGTAATAAATATCAAATAAATGGCATGATATTGAATATACCAGAATCATTTGGGTTTTTTCCGTATAAGGAAACACCTGGTCCAGAAGTTAACAGACAGCGGGGTTTCTCCCAATGACATCATTCAGATATCTGGTGAGATGACAGCTGTAAACAAAAAAAATGAATTTATGAAATTTTTATACTACATATATTAAAACAATAAAATTATATGGAAAAAACATATTTAGAAATAAATTTTGAAGGTTGGTATTCCACTGAAGTGAAAATATACATTAATTTTATCTATATTTATTTAATAAGTCTGGGGACAATAACTAATTTATTTTCCTTTTTTAATATCAATGGTTAAAATGTGTTTGTATAAGTTAGTTAAATTCATTTTGTTGGTATTTTGAATATTATGAGAACATATATCGGTAAAATAAAGAACATTTGGAAATTCTATTGGCCTCATCCTATAAACGTGTTGTTTTAAGACATTAAAGTAATGAAATACCAAATAAATAATAAAATACTCTTAAGAGAAATACAAATATCATTCATTCATCTTTCAAAATATGGATAAGATGTTATTTTGAATTATTTTGTTTGCCAAATTTCAGGCCACAAAAACGTGAATTCGATAAATAATTACTCAAGTATGAATACTGAAAAGCAGAAGGGAATATCTCGCATTCTGTCAAACAGTAACACCGCCAGCAGCACAGTCACAACAGCTGATCGAAATCCGGACTCGGCACCAATGCAGGGTGGATTTGCGATGCAATCTGTGTCCAACCGCCTTCAGAATCAACATTTAGCTTGTTAACATATGTCTATCACCTGACATGTTCAATGTATCAATGTCCTCCGAAAAACACACTGCAAATGCGACAACATCAAACACATGTGAAGACGAGTTACCACCATTGAAAAGACCATGCTTGCAATAGAATGACAAGATCATCTTGAAATATGGCATAAATAATGTTCGCAGTAAAATATTGACAACAAAATATGTTAGTGCGAAACATTGTTTGGACAATGAGTTGTATACAATAATAAATTAAGAAATTGATAAAATGCCAATTTGAATAAATGTTTTTGATTCACATTTGTATTTTGTTTTCTTTGACAATTTGAAATGGGTATAAATTTAGTGAACTATTTACTTCATCGTAGTAAACGCGACAGGTCGTATGTGAGCAGGTCACGACGCGAGAAATATCATAGTTGTTCTCGTAGTTGAAAGATCTGACTAAATTTCAATTTAAAATATGTAAAAATGGGAGATGTATATAATAAATAGACTACTTCATGCTTTTTTTGTCGAATACGATTTATATTTCGTCGAGTGAAGCCTCAAATATAAATCGTATTCGACAAAAAGCATGAAGTAGCCTCTATATATGTGTCTGTTTTCTGCATATAAAGTGTTGGAATATACAGAATACCGTAAATCCTTGAACAAATACCTGGTATTCACAGACATTTTGAAGAGTTATTTTCCTTGAATTCTACCAAGTAATGCCTGTAAGGTTCCATACTGGATACCGTATCAGTAAAATACATAACGTGAGAAATATCCAACAAGGCTTTAAAAAACTACGCCTGCTTTGAATAAACACCAGGTCTCGTGACCTTCCGAAATAAATTACTCAAGGCGCTTATTCAAGATTTTACGGGAAATGTCATGCGCATGACAGTAGATTGAATCATGGTATAACTGGAGAGAACGAAGGTAAGTGTGTAGGTGAAAGAGGGAGGGACACATGAAACAAATACTACCTTAACCACAATAATATCTATGTTCACATCTCCATCAATACTGAACAAGCTATTGCCAGACATAAAGAATACATATTCTATGCTACACGGACCCTGGCGTGCGTTACCAAGGGGTGTTCCACCTGCTATCTGATCCTGCTGGATGACGTCTTGTGATAGACCCCCGTCGAGTAGATACATCGGTCCCATTACACCTGGCAGATGAAGACAGATAACAGAGTCCCGACACACGATACGTGATATATAGCATAATTGGCCAATTTCGTCTAATCCGTCAACCATAATTAATAGCGATCTTGTTTAAAGTTGACATTTACGATAGAAGTTGTAATCAGTCGCGAGAATGTTGACAGTTGCACCACATGCACAAGGGCATAAGCGTCCTTGAACATGGAACGACAACGATGCGTGAGGCGGGAAGAGTGAGTGAGAGAGTGAGTTGGGTTTTACACCGCTTTGAACAGTATTCCAGTTATTTCATGAAGTGACGTTTTAATGACGTTTACCATTTTCGTGAATCCCACGAGTCCGGGTATGTGTGCAACACTACTGCCATCCATCCTGTCAACAACCAAGGAAATTAATTGTAAAGCCCACATCCTGTTAAAATCTGCGGCTGGTCACTACAGCAATCAATATTATACACGCACTTCCCTTATGTACTGCCACTGACAATCACACACATAAACGTACAGTCCATGCTGTTAAATTACGCCCCTCCCTTTGAAGTGTAGAAAGACGGTATGAGTACCAGTTACCATAACTGTGCTTGTAGTACTCTGCAACATGCGGTCTTTTCCTGAACATAAGACAGTTTACTCTATTTAGTGGGGGCTGAAAAAAAACTTAAAAACCGTTAGTAAGGAAGAAGTTCGTGCATATCCCTTACCAAAATGAGTTAAAAATGGAGGGAGGTGTTGGTAAACTGCATTCATACATTGCTTTGTACCAATGTGTCGGTGTGGGACATTTGACTATATTTCGTAACGAAATAACAATATACGTAATGACCAGGTAGACTCTAAACAAACGCGAGTTCTCATTCACGGGGTTCTGGCGCAAGCACATTTTGACACCTGGACGAGCGACTATAGGAACCAGTATAGTATACCTCACAAACTGAAGTAGTTTCTGCTTGATAAAGGAGGCGGTCCGATTGATTGCCGAGAAGGGTGATCATTGACACTTTATGTAGGTCAGCTGTCTATTTGCCCACATGGTAGTTAGGCCACTACCTAATTATATAAATACAGGTTTCAATTGGAACTATATTGTCTGCTGTCACTGGCTCACTGACTAAGCACTCACCTTTTGAGGCAGCATATCAATAACAAATTCCAGGAAAACCCGCAATATTTGGGAACCGTTTGTGACCATAGAATTTAAGTATAACATTACACGATAAAGATGATATAACGCTTGTGAGTTTGGTGTATTAAATATCCTGTATGAGGAATAAACTCAATGTCTGAATTTAGCACACCAAGGATCGCTGATTACAATGTTTATTTAAAATACATGATCCGAAAACACTCGTGTGATAACTTGTATACCTTAGTGGTAATACTTTATTGTTGGGACCCATTAAGAAACCAGTTGGCAAAACCCTTGACCAGTTGCTTCACCTGGCCCACTCTAATCCCAAAGTGGGGTCCATGTGTAGGCTACCAAGCAAAAGTATTTTACTCTATTTCGCAAAATTTCCGCGGGGACTATGCTGTATGCTTGTAAAAAAATTGCGTATCTACGCGGGAACTACGCAGGATGTTTGTAAGTTTTCTGCGTAGTTCCCGTGTAGCTACGCAAAAGTTTTACAAACCCTTGACCAGTTGCTTTATATATTGTCTATTTCAGTTTGTTTCCACCTTTCTGTCTATACCCTTTTATACATGTTTATGCTGCTTAATCTTATTACTCATGTCATCTCGTGTATCATAAAACTATATATGGTTTCTCCTCCCTAATCTAATGTTATAACATTTTCAAATCATAACCTTCATCTAATACACAACAGATGATGCAAAGACATATTTTATTTGGTTTTATTGTCTGTGCGGTCTTAAAATTGATTTTATTAGTCTTTAAATTTTATGTCTGGTGCATATTTTCACAAACAGGACCGTTAGCTGATATAAGGAATGTAACATCCAGTTGATTTTCCAGTTATCTTGCTTACTGTTTTTGTATCAAATATGGGGACGGCATACGTCAGTGTGACAACGAAGTATTTAAAAAAAGTTAAAAAGACAGTGAAACGTCAGTTGTGATACAACGTCTTGTGTCTTTGTGCCTAATATAATAGTATCCACAATTAACGACCATATGTAATACATGTATCATTGAGATATTCAATGAATTGCGATTACTAATAACATCATTTGACGCAACTGTTAATGATTATATGACACATCACGATGATAAATGTAGTTATTGTAACAGTATGGATAACCTGTCAGAATTTGTTACCAGAGAGGAGATTGAGAAATCAATCAAGTCATTTCAAATGGGCAAATCCCCGGGTGTTGATGGCATACCACCCGAATTTTTTAAACACGCTAATTCAATTTTACCATATTTAGAAATATTATTTCAATGCTATATTGGATAGCGGTGTTTTTCCTGATAGTTGGAATGTCGGCATGATTATCCCAAAGTGGATGTTAATGATCCAAATAATTACCATGGTATTTCTTTGCTAAATGTAATGGGTAAAATATTCACATCTATCCTTGAATCCAGAATGAGAAGATGGCTACAGGTTCATGAAGTATTTTATTGAATGTCAAGCAGGTTTTAGACACGACTATTCTACAATTGATAATGTATTTGTTCTACAATCTTTATGTCAAAAGTATTTGAGAAAACCAAAACACAGATTCTATGCAGCGTTCATAGATTTTCGTAAAGCATTGACTTTGTTGACAGAAATAAGCTATTGTTTGTACTTCTCATGAAAGGTGTACGTGGGAAAATGTTTAGAAATCTAAAAGATATGTATGACAAAGTCTCAGTTTGTGTTTGAATCGGACATTCGAAGACTGAAATATTTACAACAACATGTGGAGTACGCCAGGGATGTATGTTTTATTTATATTTTTTTATAAATGAGCTTGTAGATGAATGAAGAAATGCGAATTGAGAGGTGTTTTTGTTAGAGATAGACTAAACGATATCACACTGCTATTATTTGCAGATGACATAACATTGATTGATGACACTGTAATAGGCCTACAAAGAAAACTTGATGTGTTAAAAGGTTATTGTAACAAATGGGGCCTAGAAGTTTACCCGGAGAAATCATGTTTTGTTGTTTTCAGAAATGGCGGATACCTAAGAAATACAGAAAAATGGACTTGTGATGGTAAACATATGAAAGTAGTATCCCACTATAAATATCTAGGTATTGTCTTCACATCCAGATTAATTTGGTCAAAAGCGTGTGAAACATTAGCACTACAAGCCAGAAAGGTTCGTTTCCTATTATTACCTTATTAAAGGATTATCCAAACATTTCTCTAAAGGTAGCATCTACAATATTTGAGAGTAAAATATTGTTATATGGTTCGGAAATTTGGGGTTACACTTCTCGTGCAGATATTGAAAAAAATTCAGAGGTTTTACTTTAAATGATATTTATGTGTTGATAAAAAAAAGTATCAACCAATGCTGTACTAGGCGAAGTAGGTAATTATTTTAGTCGTTGTATAAAGTATTGGTGCAGGCGTTTGTATATGGATAGTTGTCGATACCCAAAAGCATGTTATGACATGTTGAAATCACGGGATGAAAACGGCAGACACAATGGGTAACGCATGTTCGTGTTCTTTTGCTGCTATTAGAAACCAGATTTACGTATGTTTGGATCGCACAGGAGTGTGGCAGCATATCAAATTTTATGCAATGTTTTAAGCAAAGATGTAAAGGCATAGAGATTCAGAATTGGCATGTTAAATTTTTTTCTTCATCATTTCTAAACCATTATTCTACATATAAGTCTGTACTCGA